CCAGGTGAAGTGGATATATCAAGGGAGGGCAGTGGAAGGAAATCTGCCCTGGAGGTAGAAACTTTAAATGAAAGAAAAAGCCGACATCTGGAAAGAGTGGTATTATCCCTGTTTACTCAGTCAATGAGGAACCTCGGAAGAGACTCTCGAACTAGGGAATATGCTCGTGAACACATTGTTGGGCATGCCAGCCTGGTTTGTCTTCTGAGACTTGGGCTCTAGATCTTGCAAAATCTACTAATAAAGCCTCTCTCTCACTAAAGTGGGTACAAACTGGATTTCTTAAGTGGTCGTCAGTAAACCCTTTTGACTACCCGTTGGTAACCTCATATGGGATAGGCAGTCTGCCCCCGTTCTCCCTCTGGAGACCCACTGGGGTATGGGCCAAGTCTGAGGTTTCTCCCAACCTGCCAGTTACCAAGAACAATGGTATGGGGTGTATCAGGGTGTGGACCGTGTTTCTCACAGGTCCTCACATGAATTTTTTTCATTTTAAAAATTGTATTGTGTTGTTGTTGGATATCCCCAGTGAAACACACATTCACAGGTTCTGTATGTACAATTCAGTGATACTGGGAACATTCCTTTCATCAGATACCCTTCCCCACTCACCTTCTCTGCACCCACCTGCATTCTGGCAGTAGCCTCCTTCTGGCTCTCCCTGCCTCTGACCTACCTCCCTTCCAACCAGTTTCCACCGGGTGGAAGTGCAGGTTAAAATTCTCTCCCTCATTTTCACACTCTTTTCAACATTCTTCATTTCCTCTTTGCCTTTAATGTAAACTATAATCTCTGTAGGGTGGGTGATGCAAATGGTTAATTACGCGTTTGACTGTTACCCGAAGAGTTGGTGGTTCCAACACAACCGGAGGCACCTCGAAAGAAAGCCCTGGAAATCTGCTTCTGAAAGGTCAGTCTTTGAAACCCTGCGGGTTACTCTTCACTTCGCACACTTAGAGTTGTCCAGAAGGGGAATTTGCTTAGCGGAAACGAATAGCAAGATGGCCTGCAAAGCTCCCATAACTGCTCTTCCTGCCCTCCGTCTCACTTCTCCTGGTTTGTTCTGGTCAAACAGGGTTCTCTTGGTTTCTTATTGTTCCACTTTCTATCTTGTTTCTGTATTTTTATACATACAGTTTCCTCGGCCTCAGTTACTTCTTTCTACTTTATCCCATTCCTCTTTATAACATTGTAACCAAGCTGAATTGTTACATCCTCTGCCAGGCTTCCACGACTTCCTCTAGCTTAAGATGAACATCCCTTCTCTATACTATTCTGTTGTAGATAAATTATGCTCCTCGCATATGCAAATAATGCTTGTCCTGCTTCTTTCCTGGTAGGACCAAATGCAGTAAAGGGTGTAATTAGTAATGAACTCTGTGTTCATCCTTCTTAGTTGTTTTAACTAGGGAGCTTTTCTTCTCATCTTAGTGGTATTAGAAGGACAAAAACTCCAAGCAGACAAAGCATATAGTAAAGAAGAGAACAACAGGTTTGTTCTGGGAAAGGGATACATTTAAGGGGGCTATGCAATGGACAAAGCATGTGCTCAGCAGAGATGGTCTGGGGTCCTAGATGATAGAACTGGTAATGAGTTTGCATGTTTCTCTGGTACTTCAGACTGTGAAGACGCCTTGGTGGCTCAGTGGTTAAGTGCTCACCTGCTAACTCAAGAAGTTGTCAGTGTAAACCGGCCCCCCAGATTGCTCTGTGTGAGAAAGCAGCAAGGTGTGCGGCTTCTGTAAAGATGACAGCCTTAGAAATGCCGGGCAGTTTTATTCTGTCCAACAGGGTCTCTAAGGAGAAAGAGAAGGCTTTCTATTCTGTAGAGAGCGACGTGTCAGAAATCCACTGTGGGGGTTCTAACCTGTCCTGTTGGCTCGCTATGAGTCGGAATTGACTGGACTGCCAAGGGTTGATGGATGGAGATTGGTCTGGTCAGCGTGAAAAGTAAACCAAGTGTTATGGGTCTCTGTAACCTCACCTGTACTGACTGACGTCACTATGGAGAAGAAAGCTCTTAGAGGGAAGGGAGAGATTCAAAATACCGAGCACACAACTTTTTCCCCTAGCTGAAAAGTCTGTTTTTCCTTTCACTGGTTCTGATAACAAAAACAAAGACTGAAATTACCTTTTGTAGAAAGCTGGAGGACAGGCTTGCTCACTCTGATTTGGGGAGATAAAGCTGGAGACCCACGGAGTGTGTGGATAGGTCCCTCACAAATTTCCTCATTAATTTCTTGTGCTAAAGGATTTGAAATCATTTCATCTTCTGTTCTGTTTTTAAAAAAAAGAAGTGGTTTTAGCTAATTCCCAGGGCTCAAATAGAAATTGTTTTGAAAATGATGGCAACATATGTACAAATGTGCTTGATACAATTGACATAAACATTTTTATAAGACCTGTATGAGCCCCTAATAAAATGATTTTAATATAGGGCCCAAATGATAACTACACAGTTTATTACCATTTATTTGTTGTTGCTGCCAGCTGGCAACTTATGGTGAATCCACACACAACAGAAAGAAATGCCACCTTGTCCTGCACCAGCCTGGTTGGTCCTGTGCCACCCCTGATTGGTTGCAGATTGCAATGTTGGGGTCCAGGGAGTTTTCACTGCATGACTGTGGCAGTTACATACTCTACTGTCAACTTGCGAAGGGGTGGAGTCTAGCCTGTCAATCAGGTTGCAGCTTGATGACTTCATTTGGAAGGACTACAGAGATAAATAGCTCACTTGGGAAGGAACACACACTCTTTCTCTGCTTCATCTCCCTGCCAGCCATTTCTGTTGACAAGCCATGTGGAGCTATGCTGATGGCAGCCAGAGCCCTGGAACTGGAGGAGTCATGTGGAGACCCACGCCAGCACTGAGACGCTTCCACTACCACTGGAGCCACAAGACTTTCCACCCACTGGCCTGTGATCTTTTTTCCTGCATTTGGTGTCATTGAATGTGCTGCTTGAGTCTGAAGAAGAATTTAGAGACTTGTAATGGACATATGGGCTAATATTGGACTTATGGACTTGATCTAGACTGGGCTGAGATGTTTCCCAATATACAATTGCTCTTTTCTATAAAGCTCTTTCTTATACACATATGAGTGCCCATGAATTTGTTTCTCTAGTTTACCCAGACTAACACAATGACTTTCAGAAGTGGACCCTCAGGCCTTTTTTTCCAGTCTGTCCTAGTCTGGAAAGTTCTGCTGACACCTGCTTGACCTCACAGCAACCCACACGGTTCCACTGGCACATGGCTGGTAGCGGTGCATTAGGTACAAAGGGTGGGCATCAAGCCTGGGACTCTCGGATGGAAGGCGAGTATTCTCCCCCTGCAGGCACCAGTGCCCCACAGTTGATTTATACCTTTATAGTAAAATTCATTATTAACAAACTGCTTATTTCCAATATTGCTATCAGGCAACTTACACTAAAACACAAGCATCATAAATATAATAGAACATCACCCAAAGAAGGCAAATTATAATTGTATAAGAAAAAAAATGAGGAAGCAAATATGCTAATCGTAAGGTCAACATAGTTGCTTTGATAGAGTAGAAATAATGTTTACTCTGAGCTTCCAAATAACCTTGACTTGTTTCTACATTGGATAAGTCTTTTTCCCCCTCAAAAATAAGATGTGTTCAAGGGTTCATAAGGGAGGGAGGGAGGAATGAGCTCATACCAAGGGCTCATGTAGAAAGAAAATGTTTTGTAAATGATGATGGCAACATATGTACAAATGTGTTTAACACAATGGATGGATATATGGATTGTGATAAGAACTATAAGAGCAAACAAAATGAAACAAAACAAAACTATAAGAGCCCCCAATACAATGATTAAAGAAATGTAAAAATAAAGAAAAAAAGACATGTTCTGAATGTCTCAGACGATATGTTTTTTCCTGGTATAAAGTCTGGAAAAAATTTTTTTGGTATGACAATGACCTCCACAGTAGTTCCAAAGCAAATGTAGCAGTGGGTTCATTTTTATACAACAATTTCTTTCTCTCACTGACTTCTTAAAAAAAAACAAACACCCAGAAATCATAACATTGAAGGCTAACGCAGTGACAGCAGTTCTGTCAGCGTGCAAACACAGTCTAATACAGTATTTTACTAAACACTAACCTTGAGGGCACTTTTGCTTTCGTCTCATGAATTAGCCCATTCTCTGCATCTTTTCCTCCTTTGCAAAAAACAAGAGAAGATTTTCTTCTTAGAAACCGGTAAAGACTGCTATTTGAATCTTCAAATTCCAAATGCTTTTCACTTTTGAATAGCTTCACTCCTACTGGTTCAAATACTTTATGATTCATTAGAATTTGGCAAAGATGAATTCCTTTACGGCGAGAGATGTCAGTGCTACTTAGATACATATTTTGCATAAGATGAGTTAATACTACATCGACAGCATCAGACCCAATAAAACAGTCTCTGTATGTCTTCAAATGGTGCCGTCTTCTTTTTATTTCCACTTGGGTATGAAGGGAGTGAATAATACCATCCCAGAGCCGAGTAGCTTGAAAAGGACCAGAGGATGCTAAAAAGAAAAAAGAAAATACGCATATGTTTCTAGCAAATTTAGATTACACAAATACATTTAAGGTCTTCAGTGATGAAAACTTTATGCTTTTTTTATGGGACAATTCAAAACCAAACTCACTGCCATCGAGTCAAATCGACTCATGGTATATGCACTGTCCATTTCTTAAGTTTCGTCTCTCACCTTATGTAAAACATAAAATATCAACTAAAGTTGCACCGTAAAGTTGTCTGCCAACAACAACAAAGTCAACTTGTGGACATTTATGGAAGTGAAATACAGTATCATACAGTATCCTGTTATGAGAACTTACAGACAGCTTAATCTTATGCGGTTAGCTGGTAGCTACGGCTGCAGTTAATCCTGAAGACCCTGATTTCAGGAATCAGTCAAAAGGAATGCACACACATTCAATTCTTGATTTTTACAGAGCTGTGGCCTCCCTAGGTTCTTAGTTTTTCCTTTTCCACTGGACCTTTTTGATCAATGGCAAGTTCTTCAACAAAGAAGTATAGGGCAAGGAGTTGAAGACTGCTTTGACTGTCTACCAGCTGCATTAAAAAAAAAAAGATTCCTGAGAAATAAATGAAAATCTCAACACAAGTCATGGCCATCAAGCCAATTCTGATTCAAAGTGACCCCATAGGTAAGGTGACCAGATTTAAAGTGGGACACCATTGACCGGGGGTTGGGGGTGGGGTTCTTGATAAAAAAAATTGGTCTATATGGACCAAATAGATCGTTCCCTAGCTTGTTGTGCATTCTTTCCAAAAAGTGGGACGTCTGGTCACCTTATACCCATAGGACAAGGTAGAATTGCCACTGTGGGTTTCCAAAAATGTAAATTGTTAGGGGAGTACAAAGCATTATCTTTCTCCCCTCAGAGTGGCTGGTTGTTTTGAACTGCCGACCTTGCAGTTAGCAGCCCAATGTGTGTCCACCATGGCACCGGGGCTCCAGAGAAACAATTACAATTTTCATCCACTGGGAAGTAGTTGTGAATGAGGTATAGTATCACTATAAAATACTAGGTATCCATTAAGAAGAATGAAGTACAGCTGTATTTATAGCACCGAATGAGCTCATTATGTATGAAAAAATGAAAACAGTGACAGACTTGAACCATTTGCATACTATATTCCACTCAATGCAATAATGCAAACCATTTTAAACAATTTTAAAGGGAGTGTGTTGAAACATCTACAATGTTGTTTCCAGGTTTTTGGGGGACAGAAGCCCAGAATTCAAGCTTTCATCTACTTGATTTTACATCAGTTCGATTGATGTTCATGACAAAAATAAAAGGCCACCATCCTCAAATTCCTTTTGTAACAGAAGCAGTTCTGAGCATCCATTGAAACACTGTCCTTAGACGGTGTCCTGCAGCCATGGGAAAGCCCGGGGAGGGGGAGAGAAGAGAGAGCACAAAGCTCTGAGAGCCACGTGGACAGGACATTTTCCGTGGATCACCTGCCTCTCTAAATCTGCATTCAACAGGCTAGCTCAAGGTACGTGTCATTGTACTTTAACTCCTTCAGCGGCCACTGCTTTGGTGGGTTATTTTGTTTTGTTTTTTGCTCTAAGTGTAGCCCAGGGACATATAGGAGTTTCCTAGAAAGGGCAGACTATTACAACTTACCCCTGGATTCCAAACAAACAAACAAACAAACAAACAAACAATGTCATCTAGTCGATTCCGACTCATAGCGGACCTATAGCACTGGGTAGAACTGCTCCTGTGGGTTTCCAGACTGTAATTGTTTACGGGAGTGGAAAGCCTCAGAGGTCTATCCGGAAAGCAGCTGGTGGTTTCGAATTTAGGACCTTGAGGTTAGCAGCCCAGCCATTATGCCACCTGCGCTCCACTCCTGAATTAGATAGAACCTGTACTTTAAAAGGCCCCCCAGTGATTCGGTTGCTTATAAAAACCTTGGAAGCCCTGCTCTGGGGAGCCCTTAAGGACACTACATCAGAGCAACTGCCTCCACCAGGACCCGAGCCAGCAGGTGGCCCAGGAAGGGGCGGAGCCTAGCACCGG